CTCAGGGTTCTCCATTTTTTCTTCATCCTCAGCACAGCCCCACCCCTTTAAAAGGAGCCTGCTAACCCCTCTGAGACCCAGCCACAGACCCCTGGGAGGAGCTGTGATGAAAATGGCAGGGGCGGGCGGTGACGGGAAGTGGAGGAAGGGATGGGGGGGGATAAATGGTGATGGACAGAGACTTGACTTGGGCTGGTGGTCACACAATGCAGTGTACAGATGATTGTGGAACTGTGCATCTGAAACCAGTATAATTTTGTTAACCAGCGTTACCCTAATAAATTCAGTAAGAAGGGGGAGAGGAAATGGCAGTGATAAGGAAAAGATGTCATTACACACCGCCTGTCTGGGCTGCCTTACAGCCCTGTGCACCCCTACACGGCCTCCTATTGCAGTGAACTGCTTCTGCCCAGCTCTCCCTCCATACCGAGTACCTGGAGGGCAGAGACCAGGCCGTGTGGCCTGCTGCCAATACCTAGTATGTTACTAGAAAATTAAGCACTCAAGATACATTTCTGGAAAATTAATGACTTGAGAAATATTTATGGCATAATGTTGCAAAAGCCTTCCTACGCCTGATGGGTGAGGAATATTATGACCACTGCCTGTGGTGCAAAGGTGCCCTTCCCTTAGTCCCTCTGGACCCACAAGGCAGAGCTGCTTAAGGAAGAAACTGACATCTCCAGCCCTTCTCCAAAGGCCTTTCATTCCACCTAATCCCACACTTACTTGGTGGGCATCCACTGCAAGGGCAGCCCCAAGGTCAAGGCTCTGGGGTCTAGGGCAGGGCCTTCCGGTCACGTCCTCCTCTTCGTGGCCTGGGTGCTTCCCAGGAGAACACACTGGCTCCGTGTTCATTCTGTCGATCTCCCTGGCCAGGTGCACAAGGAGCTCTGGACTCAGCTTACTATCCCCTTCCCTGCTGCTCAGCACCAGCTGTTCCTTGAGGAGGTTGATGATGTTGTGGGCATTCTTCAGTTTTCTCTGGAGCTTTCTGAACTCAGCCTGAAGGCTCTTCTCATTCAGACCCCCTTTGGCCACGACCGCCTCCACCATCGCCTCGCCCTTCTCCTTGTCCTCCTCCATCTCCCATCCATCAGACATTGCTTCTCCCATCTGCTCTTTCAGCTCTGCATTCTCAAGGCAAAGGCTCAGCATGGTGTTTCTGCAGGGAACATACACCGTCAGGGCTCAACTAAGTTTACATATAACAGAGTTTAAGTAAAACATATATATATATGTAGATATATATACATATATATTAATATATTTTATTGATTTCAGAGAGCAAGGGAGAGGGAGGAAGAGACAGAAACATCAATGATGAGAATCATTGATCAGCTGCCTCCCGCACAACCCCTACGGGAGATCGAGCCTGCAACCCAGGCATGTGCCCTTGACTGGAACTGAACCTGGGATGCTTCTGTCCTCAGGCTGACACTCTACCTACAGAGCCAAACCAGCTAGGGCAGTAAAACATATTTTAACAAGTAGAATCAAGGAAAGAAATCACCATTATCCAGTATTATGCACTTTTCTCTAAAGGACTTGTAGAAACATAAACGCATGGGGTCTGGGATGGGGACCAAGAAGCCCCATGGCAGGGGCAGATGCCTTGGCTGCAGCAAGGCAAGTCCCTTGGTTATGGTGGCCTCTCCATTGGCAGGCTCCCCGGCCTGGGGGTTGTCCTACCTGATGTGGGCCACAGAGGAGAATCCTGCTTCCTCGATTTGAGCCTTCAGCTCCTTCAGTTCCCCCTCGGCTTTCCTCTTCTCCTCGAGGTGCTGGTGGACCTCAGCTCTCAGGTGGAGCATTTCCTCCTGAAGACCCCTGTTACTCCCCCCTCCTGTCGGGGACGGAGGGCAGAGAGACATGTTCTGGCTTTCCACAGCTGCCAGACTCTTCTCCAAAGCCACTTTGATGAGCTGAAAGAAAATCATGATTTAAAGAAGTCAGGCCATTAAAGAGCATCCAAGAGGAACATCAGATCTCAAGGGCAGCCTCGAATGGGAACAAAAAAAGGCAGACCTAAAGTGAGCGCCCTCCAAGGCCTTCCTCCGCCAGAAGGGCCCTGGAGACTGGTTTGGGGGGGAGGGTACACCCAGGGAACAGGGAGAATTGTTGCCATGGGCAGGAAGAGGAGATCCCAGAGGTGGGTGAGAAAAACAAAAACACCAAAGCATATAATAAATAAATAAAAATTCGAACAAAGGAGGTTTAAACAGGACTGGAAAGTATGCGTGCTGTGATTTTCCTCCTGAGGGGGCTGAGTCCCCTGAATCTTCCCACAAGTCAGGAAGTTTCATCAGCTCCATGACCCTGGAGTCTGTGACTGGGAAGACCAAGGCTCGAGACACCAGCGCTCAAATCCTCAGACTGTGCCTGTAACTCAGACTCCAAAGAGGATGATCCAGAGGGAGGGCTCAGGGCGCTGGGCGGTCAGGAGTCAGTGACAGAATCAGAATGTGGATGGGGCTGCAGGTAAGACACAACAAGCTGAGTTTCACTGGCTGCAGGAGAACCACACCCCACAAAGTACTGAGAAGCTACAGTGAGGCCACTTGCCAGCAGCTAAGTTCACTTGTTGGTTAATCACCCTTGTGCTGATGCTGCGGGTGAAACTCTCTCTGCAAACCTAAGCGGAAACAACTTCCCAACTCCCCACCTCCCCTTTCTTTTAGGATACTCTTGACATTACTCCTCAATGTTTCAACTGAAGTGGATTGGATGGTTTTCCCTCAAATGAGAATTTTTAACTTTTAGACTTCCTTAATTTTCATCTTGGGCTCCTCTCCAGTTTCCCCCATGCATTTAAAAGTGTAGAAAACAAATTTGAGTATGATAATCAACTTAGTTTATGACTAATTATTTTAGTACAAGAATTTGCCTGGAGGCCCAGTATTAATCATACATCTCAATGTCATCTTGACTTCTGTTTCCTCTCAATTTTGACCTCCCAATTTCCCACCTCTCCCCATAGCTATTTCTCGGAAATGTTATTTGTCGTCTTGTATCTCTATAAAGATGACTTGTCGCTATAAATTGTACTTGTCACTTATAACTTCATTCTGGCTGTACAAAATCATTCCCCAATGATCAAAGTCATTAATATATTTACGTGCATCTCCATAAACCACATAGTGGCCATATAGTGGGGCTGTGATTAGGGATATGTTGCAGAATTCATTAAATGCTTATTCCTTCATTCAGGTCACAAATATGTTGAACAGAACAGAGCCCAGAGGAGTGTAAATAGATCGATGATCGATAGAGCTGCTCAGCTCGACACAAAGTCATTGACCCTTGCTTTTGACTCCATGACAGAGCATAGCAAGTTAGGCTGCAGGTATGTGGTGGGGTTGACTCATGACATGCATGTGCAATGGTGATTAGGAGCATAGCAGTTGGGATTGTGAAGAGATGCACATCCATGTCAAAGATGAGATGAGCAAAAACACAATTGCTCATTTCCTAGGCATCCAATCCCCCCTGGGATTGTGAGCCTGAGATTTGGGAAGTTCTGCCTCTATGCCTCTGCTGCCAAACTGGGTGAGACTGGTGGCCACCCCTGCAGGTGCCACAAGGCACCTGGGACAAAATAAAGGAAGGGGGACTGGATAGAACCACGTTTGAAAGTTTATATCCTCAGCCCTCATTCAAACTATGTGATATCTTTTTATGTAAACTCTTTGCAACTAACTGAATGTTGCATCAGCTTTTAATATGGGTGAAACATTTGTTTTCTTTCTTTTTAATTGATTTCAGAGAGGAAGGGAGAGGGAGAGAGAGGTAGAATCATCAATGATGAGAATCATTGATCGGCTGCCTCCTGCATGCCCCCTACTGGGGATCAAGCCCATAATACAGGCATGTGCCCTTGACCAGAATTGAACCCGGGACCCTTCAGTCCACAGGCCAGAGCTCTACCCACCGAGCCAAACAAGCTAGGGCAACATTTGTTCTTTTCTAAACCTTAAAGGTTCCTTCTGCTTAAAAATAATGTCTGACTTTAATGATAGCCACCTATTTTTAAATGTACCTTCTGGATGTATATATTTTTCTATTGATTTAAATATACCCATTTTATTTAAATACAAAATTAAGACCCATGGAATATTAACACTAAAAGGGACCATAAAGTCCATCTGGTCTAATTTCCCACTATGAGAAAAGAGAGATCTGATTTGTTCCCAGGATGATCTGGGTTTCATATTTTCAGGTTAAAGGGAGCTTACTTTGGCTAATTTGTCTTTAAATTTTAAATACAAATGCATGAAAGTTATTATTCCTCCCTCCCCCAATAAAACTCCAAGTATGTGTGGTGATGGTATAAATCTTTTAAGTCTATTGTTAGTTGTATCTCATAGCTTTTTTCTCTCACCCCCCTCCCCCATTTTCTAATTCATCTGTTCTATTACATCAGGGTATAACTCAACTTTTGTGTGTGCTGGATTTCCATTAACCCACGCAGGTCTACATGCAGCTCTGATCTCTTGTTTGAAGAGAGTTGTGTTGCTTTTACCTTATTGCTTTGCATCTCTCATAATGTAAATCAGTTCTCTGATAGCATTAGGGGCATTAAAACTGTTCTTTTCTCAAATTCATCACACTAAGTCTACTCATTTTTCTCTCCTTTGATTTTAATCTTGATTCTTGATTAACTTTTTTCCATTGCAACAGTTCAAAGAAGAAAGATAATAATTGATTATGCTAGTTTCTTTCCTAGGACTTTCCTAGGTATTTATTATAGATTTTACATTTGATTGAGACTGGAAATTACCACCATGGCTGGACCTGAGACTTCCTGAGGTGGGTGAGTTCATACTGGATAAAGCTACTTGCTGTAGCCAAAAGGTGGTTCTTGCCTTGGAAGAAACACAAAGTTGGGTGTGTTTGTTAGGGGACTTGTGTGGATGCCTGAGGTAGGAAGGGAGCTTTGTGTCGAGAACAAAGCCAACCTTCTAAGGACACAACTAGAAGAAGCTCAGAACCTAATCTCAACGGACTATTTCCCTGGATACAAGCAAACAGATTTTTGAGAACCTGGACACAAAACAGTTATGGCAAAACAAGCTTTATTTAATTTGTGGCAGAAGAGTCCCACCCCCAAGCTCCAGAAAAGGTGAAGTAAATTGACAATGATTTCACACACCTCTCACCCCAAACTGAAGATCAGAGTTTCAAGAAAAGGCGATGGAAAGCAAAATGGTGCTTACGCAAGATATCCTTCATCCAATAGGCATGTACTTTGTCAATCATGAGTCAAGCCCCAATCCAAAGATTTTTTAACCCATAATTTCTTATCTCCTATGCCAAGTAATAGGGAAGATGTTGCAAGAAAAATACAAATGCCCCAGTGTAAAAGTTTACTTCAGGGTTGAACTGACCTTCTCAAAATGTGCTCTGGTCATTGTCTCCATGCAGACTATAGGAAAGAAGATTAAGGAAGAAATGACTTTACTAACCAGTTTGCCTACAACTGAGAATTAGAATGAAGGACTTCTCAGAACCTGGCTCTTGTCTTATGTGTCTCTTGTTCATTTATTCTAAAGTCACTCCTTCCCACAGTAGTAATAACCTGTTGACATCCCAATATGTCTTAGGGTGAACATTTTGGTCATCCTGAAGATCCCTCTCGCTCACCCAGAGTCCTCAGTGAAATCAGGAAGTGAAAGGCAGAGGGACCAGTGCAAAGGGGCTGTGGGGTACATAAGTAAAGTTACAAGCATTGGCTAGGAGGACTCAGAAGAAGCTGTTAAAGTAAAATGGTAAGTAGAGCTCATGCAGAAACTCAAGGGGAAAGTAAGAGTCGGGTATGTCTAAGGCAATAAAGAGAGGATCTTGATAGAAGGTAAATAATCTGTGTTGAGGACTTGAGATATTCCAGACAACTACTCATGTCAAGAACCAAAGACTGTGCCAAATCCTGCAGGAGCTGGGGATTGTTCCCTTGGGCTCTTCTTGTTGGTTTATTAGATGTCTCCTCTTTTTCTTGTGCAGATGTACAGGCAGACTCTGAAAGCCTCATTTCCCTGATAGTTTTCCTAATACCCCCAAGAAAGTTATCACTGGAATTACCCAGCTGCTTCTGCAAGAAGGACAGATACCAAAAATCCACTTTCTCCTTAAGTCACAGGCTTGGTCCATGTAGGAGATGTGATGGCTAGATGTCACTGGGCCAGGTGGAGACACAAAGGAGGTCCAGTGAGTGCTAGGGATCACTACTGGTGACTCAAACTCTGAGGCCCAGGCCATTAAATTCTTGAGCTTGAGAATATGCTGGTTATTTCATCATTGATGGTTGGTGAGAACAGTGTTTCAGCCTTGGGTTCCAAGTTGAGGTTTGACAGGGGCTTGCTCCTGAAGTGCCATCTCTTGGTCACTGATGTGCCATCACCTGGGTGGTTTGTCAGATTTCCCAAAGAAATTCTCTTTTATGATG